GACAGGGTATCACTATGTAGTTGAGACTGACCTGGAACTCCCTATGTAGCCCAGGCTGGTCTTGAACTCACAGCGATCCTCCTGCCTCAGCCTCCCCAGTGCTGGGATTACAGGCATGCACCACCACGCCCAGTTTTTTGTTTGTTTCTTTGTTTGTTTGTTTGTTTTTTTGTACCTGGGGATCAAACTCGGGCCATTGCACTTGCAAGGTGGCAAAATCACTGAGCTAAAATCCCAGCCCTATTCCTTAGATATTTTGACTCTATAAGAAATTTTAAGTCCTAATTATGCATCTGACTTTTATAGTACCATAAGCTCAGAGCTAGAAAGAATTTTGAAGTAAATCTATTCTAATACCTTATACGTGAAGGAGCTGGCCCAGCAATACTATTACTATGCTGATGTAAGGCAGCAAGTCACTAGATGTTTAGATCATCTTCCTTCAACTGTTGCCATTTTTCTTTTTAAAAAGTTTTATCAAGATATAATTAGGAGGGGCCCAGGGATTTAGCTCAGTGATTCGCAAGCGCACGGACCCAAGTTCCATCCCTGGTACCACAAAAGATATAATTAAGGGCTGGGGATTTAATTCAATGGTTCCATCACCTGCCCGGTACCAAAAAAATCTTGGGGCCAGGGATTTAGCTCAGCGGCAGCGGTACCATGCCTGCCTTGCAAGCACACGGTCCTGAATTTGATCCCTGGTACACATATATTACTATATGATTTACTTGTTTGACTTGTCTTTTAAAAAGTTGTATTACCTTAAACTCAGTGAAGTATATGGATGTCTCCGTACACATCCTGTCTTTCGTATCTCATAACAAAGTAAGAAATATAGCATTGTTTATCTTCTGCTACAGTATCCAGGGTTTTTGCTTTATCTCTGCTCCTTTAATCCTACCTAATACTTTCTATGAAGTCACACTGACAAGATTCCCTGAAAAAGATCTTTGTTAGATTTGAAAGGGAGAGGGTAGGAAGGCATTGATTAATGAAGGCTTTGCTTGGTTGCTGTGATACATACTTCTGTCTACATGTCTTGTTCTTCTTACAGTGGTGAAATTTCAGCAACGATCTGTGTTTCCAGTACACTTCAGTGGCTCAATGATACAGCACTGGTGGAATTCTAACCTCACTTTCCAAATTTATGCCAAAAAAACTCCTCAGAAAAAGGTACTTAGAATGATTTTTTTTTTTTTTTTTTTTTTTTTTTTAGTACCAGGGATCAAACTCAGGATTTTGGGCTTGTAAGGCAGGCGGCAGCACCACGGGGCTAACTCCCCAGCCTCAAGTAATTTTTGACCTTTGCCTTATTCTTCACATCAATGATTTGGCACATACTTAAAATTATATTTGTGTCTAAAGTAGGAATTTCTCCAGGCTCAAACACTCAAAGCTTATTATTATCATTGTCACTCTTCTCTGCTGTTCATTATAGGCCAAATATGACTCTAAAGTCTGTTCACAATCATACTTATCACATTTCATTGTTACAAGAACTCTGTCAATTCAATGTTATTTTTTTTAATTCAATACATTATTATCTTCATTTTATAGATGAAGAAACTGAGATTTAGTGAAGGATAAGTAACATATTTAAGATCACTCAAGCTAATAAAAGAGCCAGATGGGACTATGGGAACCAGAAAAGCCTGGGCTGCACCAGGATGGGACCAGGGACAGTGGCAGACCCGGGCTGGTGCAGGCAGCCCACTGAGTTGTAAGGGAGGCTAATGAAGATGAAACAATGTCTGCCAACCTAAAATGCCTTTCTTTGGGAATTTTAGTCTTTCAGACTGTCAGTTTGGTGCTAAGTGCATTATTCCAGGGCTTCAAAAGCAGAGGGACCTCACTGTCTATCTTCTACAACAGTGGTTGTTGGGCCTGCCTTTTATTAATCTACAAAGACTAAATGTAGTCTAAGAGCACTGAATCAAGTACTACATGATGAAATTTTATTAAGTCTATGGAAGCACTTAAGCTTACTATTCCATGAAGGATATATACTCTTCAGAATAATTTACTCTATATAGCAGTGTTAAATCTAGATGCAGCTACCTATCAGTACATGTCAGTTGAAAATTCTAACAACAGCATTATTTTGCTATGTGTCTATGCTTAGTAAATGTTAGTGTGTACCAGTGGCTCTCCCCCTAGTAATTTTGGTGATGGGTTGCTTGTGTACAGTGACCCTCAGATTCCCAAGACCTTGATTCTAAAAATTCTCAGCTGATTCTCAATTTGTGAGCCTCGTAGTAGTTCTCACAGCCTGTTTTTCTAGTGGTTTTGCTGGAGTTTATTTTGAGAAAAATCTTAAAAGAAACAAATCAGTATAGATAAGAAACATTCAGCTTGACACTTGGAGGCCTTATCACTACTGTGATTAAGTATGTAGATAATATTTTTAAAGGATTTGCAACCCTTTATCCATGTTATTATCAACACTGATATCCTATTTTTGGCCTTAGGACTTTGTGCCAATCAGTGCCTATTTCCTTGGAGCTATCCTTATAATAACAGCTACTTTCTTATACAGTTATGATCCCAAGCCTTCAAGAAATCCTACTAAAGCATAATCATGTATTATCTTTTACTGGTTTTTCATGATGGTGCACTAGGAATCTCAACACTAATCTTCCACTGAGAATATCTACAGATTTTGTGAAGATACCATTATCTTGAATCTGATCATATTGTTCAAAGATTTGAAATATATACTTGCTTAGGAATAAAGCACACACTATATATATAACAAAACACATTACATCTAGAATTCAAAACTTGAAGATATTTCCAGGAATTAGAATTAGAATAAATATTGGAGAAAACTTGAAGTCTGAGTTTAAAAAGAATATATCTTTTTTTTGTTCCTGGCAGAAATGTTCTGTGCACTCTTTATAAGAGCACACAAATGTCAGATACCAATTTTTGCAAATTAGATATATTTACTCTTTCTTTTAATATTTATTCTCATTAAATGTTTTTATCTTACTCTTTCTATAAAAGTACATCAAATCACATGGAATATTACAAATTTGAAAATTATAAATACCTATAAAGCTGTGAAAAAATAGAAATATGATTTGAAAACATTTTCACATATCAGACTTTTTTACAAAAGATTATTCACCCAAAGATTGCTAATTATTATTTGTTCAATTATGTAAATTTGATACAATTATATTCCAGGTCTGGTTTCTCAGAATAAAAATCATATTTAAAATTAGTATACAGAGATAGGTATTTCTCCACATATATCCTAGGAACGTTCAGTGATTTATGACAGCTGAAAACAGTCCAGTTGTTCCTGTGCTAGTGAACAGTGACTTTTACAATAATAGTTTTACCTTTAGTCTCTTAATTATACTTTTTTTCTGTAAGTCAGATAAATCCTTACTATTAAAGTTTGTATGTGTTGATTGCCATTAAATTTTGAAAATGTAATATAATTAGATTTAATACTCATTTAATAATTTAAAATAGGCAGGGCATGATGGTGCACACCTGTAATTCCACCACTTGGGAGGCTGAGGTAGGAGATTTGCCACAAGTTCATGGCCAACCTGAGCTGCATAGTGAATTTAAGGCCATCCTGAACTACACAGCAAGAACTTGTCTTTAAAAAAAATAAATAAAAAAGTGGAGCAAGACCAAAATGACTTTTCTTGTAGACATATCCTATCAACATATTACATTACTTTAAATAGCACTATAAATTTAAGTCTGATCAAAAAGAACTTTCCCAGATCTCTGTAAGCCTGCTATCCTCAGAGATACTGTGGCCTTGTGTCTGGGACAGGTGGCTGAATTCTGAATTCCCTGTGTTCCCATGGAACCACTAGGAAAGAACCACCATTTTGCTTCAAAATAGTAGATTTTTATTCTTTTTTTAACACTGTAGTTGAGAATACAAATTACATGAATTATTTAATAAGTTGGTTCATAGGAGAGAAAATACATTAAAAATAGTAAGATGAGTTACTGAGCAAATAATGCTTTCTATAATTGGAATGTGTAGGTTCCACTTAATTATGAGCTATATACAGAATTACCTATTAAGTATTTTATGTTTTTCATTTATACTGTATATATTTTTAAGACTTATAATAGAAAAACTGTAAAAATACACAATTTTATAGATCTAGTGGATTTTGTTAAATAGAATATGATTCAAAAATGCTGTTGTTACAAACTGTTGGATACTCTTTGATCATTTGGACTGTCTGTATTACCCTGATAATGCAAACATAGTCTGCAGGGCCAGGGATTTAGCTCAGTGGTTCTGCTGCCTGCCTTGCAAGCGCAAGGACCCAAGTTCGATCCCTGGTATAAAATAAATAAATAAATAAGACATAGTCTGCAGATTGTAGGTCTAATCAGCTTCATCCAGGGTTTAAAATTACCTAAGATTACAAAATACTTAAAATCAATTTACTGATGATAGTAAAATGGTACCAAGCAAATTTCTGGATGCCGGAATTCAGATTTTCACTGACCACCTTTTAGAATATTTTGTTTAATAACTACCTCAGTTTGAACCTGGTTTTCTGTTTTTTGATTTGGTTTTTTTGTTTTGTTTTTTGTTTTTTTTTGGTACCAGGGATCAAATTTGGGTCCTTGCGCTTGCAAGGCAGGCAACAGCACCACAGCTAAACCCCCAGCCCTGAACCTGGCATTTTTACTACTACAGCAACATTCAGACTTACATCCTATTTCCTACTACTACGTACATTTAAATTTTATAAATATACAGCATTCAAGACTAAAATATATTCAGCTCACATTAAAGTATTGTTTAAGCAATTGTATAGTGTACATTCACATTTGTTAAGTTTAGTCTGCGCTATTTTGTCACTTAAAAAATTATACCAGCATGCCAGGGATTTAGCTCAATGGTTCCGCCACCTGCCTTGCAAGCACAAGGGCCTGAGTTCAATCACTTGTACCAAACAAAAAATTATATCAGCAGTTATTGGATATTAGATATGTTAAAGTAATAACACATTTTCAAGTGTCCAATTAAGAGTTGTAAAAATGGACAAAATAATCGAAAGTATATTTTCAAAGCACATTTTCATTGGGTATAATTTATATTTTGCTCTTCTAGTAGGTTTGAAACTTTTTGGGCTACATAGTTTCTAATTTTTAATTCATAAGGAAATGCTCATGTTTCAAAAGGCAGACTTGTGTCCTTGGATCTTGTCATATATACAGATAATGTCATTTTATGTAAGTGGTTTATATTTTGATGACCTTCAAAGGTCTTATTGTATCAAGCTTTTTTAACAATGACTGATTCATTCTTTACATTTCTGTACTTTTTTTAAGTGAATTTATGTCTTTGAACTGCTTTGTTCAGTGTGAAAATGTGTTCATTCCTATGAAAAGAATGACAGCTGATAAATTTATTAAAAGTTAAAAATATGGTATTGTGAAGAAAAGTTTGAAATATAGTAGATGTTTCAAGACAGTAATATTGGGGCCGGGGATTTAGCTCAGTGGTTCCACTGCCTGCCTCGCAAGCACAAAGACCTGAGTTTGATCCACGGTACCAAAAAAAAAAAAAAAAGACAGTAATATTGTCAGTTCTTTAATAAGCGATTTGAGAATTTCTGAGCTACTTTTACATGGATTATACAGCTTAGAGATACAAAACTTAAACATTTACATCAGTTTTGATTGTCATAGAATTTCATAGAAAGGAAAGGCAGTTTGGTATGTAAACTAGATTCTAATAACAGAACTTGAAAGGAAACTAATTGATACGTCCTGTATGCTTAATGTAATCCTGAATATTCCTACATATCAAATTATTGGTCTTTTAAAATATCATTGTACAGTCACTCAGCTGAGTTTTTTTTAAAGGGTTTAGCATCACTCATTTAAACATTCACTGTAAACATTTAATTACTGTACTGTGTATACATGTTTTATATAAGGAAAGGTTTATAAAAGTTACTTATGCTGTATTGAAAGTTATCTTTAAGAATCTCTGGGATATTTAAAGTAGTTATAGGGCTCCCCCCAAAAAAAGGACCTTTATCAAAATCTGGTCCTGGGGCCGGGGATTTAGCTTAGCGGTTCAGTGGCCTGCCTTGACAAGTGCAAGGACCCGAGTTCAATCCCCGGGACCAAAAAAAAACTGGTCCTGTATGCCTTGCTTTGCCAAATACTTGACTTTTCTGGAGGATATTTCTGTAATTCACAACATGAACAAAATTGGAACATTTCAAGATTTACTGGCTTTTTTGTTTGTTTCAAGATTTGCTCTTTAAATCTACTACCTAAAAATTTAAACTAGGTACACTATAAAAGTGTTAGTGAATAGTACTCATTAAATTAATATGGCAACTTTGCACCATCATTCAACTTTTTAAAACTTTTTAATAGTTGTATATAATTGTCATTCTGTTTCATTTCTTATTATGTAATTTACTGTAATTGGGGGGGGATACAAGGGATCGAACTTGCAAGCAGGCTAAGCTAAATCCCCAGCCCTAAAAATTAATTTTTGAGCCGGGCATGGTGGCGCATGCCTGTAATCCCAGCACTTGGGAGGATGAAGCAGGATGATCGCTGTGAGTTCGAGACCAGCCTGGGGATACACAGTGAGTTCCAGAGCAGTCTGAACTACATAGTGAGACCCTGTCTCAAAAAACAAAACAAAACAAAAAAATAATTTTTGAATGATTTAGATCCTGTATTTCATTTCTTTAGAAAGATTCTTTTGGGTTTAAGAATGAGATTTATGTAAAAAAAAAAAAAAAAAAAAAAAAAAAAAAAAAAAACAATGAGATTTATATATTTGAATTGTTTATAGATATAATTCAAAGGAAGGTATAAACTGGTCTTTTAAAAACTCATTTTTTTTCTTTTATTGAGTTTATTGGTACATTTTAGGTATACAGTACAATTATGTTCACTATTGGGATCTTGTACCTTTACATGACAGGTCTTGGTTCTCATTTTTTTCCCCTTGTCCATGCCCTCCCTTCACCCCCTCCTCCCCTCTCCATTTACAAACACTTTATTTCCATTTTTCATTTTCTCATATTTTTTCCCTTATTACCTTTCCCCTACCCTTCCCATTTTCCCTACACCTTTAGCCCTTTTATTCCTATTTCACATGGTCAATTATATCATTAAAAAACTCATTTTAATTGATACATTTCTCATCATTTTTTGATATCCATTATTTGTTTAATAGACCATTGAAACAGGAAAAAAAAAAAAAGAGCCAGTAGACTTCTATCTTCAGACTCTTACATTCTTAACCTCTTTTCTGTGTTCCCTTACTATATTGAGTATTGATATAAGTTATAGTAGCCTTAATTTGAGATTCTACTTCCTGTTCACAGGGAAATAGCCAATGTATCTAGCCCTGGTCCTAAATAATGTAATTATGAGTAGCAGTTGATCGGCTAATTCTATGTTTGTAAAATCCATTTGCAACAGCACAAAATGTATCAATGAACTGACATAAGCAGTGTTTGCTTCCTTCAAGAAAAGAATAACTAGGCTGGGGATTTAGCTCAGTGGGGCTGCCACCTCCCGCACAAGCACAAGGCCCCGAGTTCAATCCCTGGTACCAAAAAAGAGAAAAGAATAGCTTATAGGTGTAATCTTTGACCTCATTTATAGTATAGGTAACTTAAAGAATACAATTTTTCTCTCTTTTCTGTTTGTTTTTCCATAATATATAAATAATATAAGCCATTTTGCCCAAATAACAATATATAAAGGGGGAAATCACATAATTCTACAACGTCAAGACAACCTCTGTTAACATTTTGATATATTTATGTTGAATCATTTTTCTGTAGTTAGTGGCTATTTTTTCCTAATTGCAAAATAAAATTCAGGCTTATGTAGAAAATTTGTAAAATAATTTTATTTAAAAGGCAAAATTGCCTATAATCTCAGTAAATGTTGTTATTTTGAAATATATCTCCTTTATCTTTTTCAAATAAATACAGTATGTCATATAACTTTATGTGCAGCTTTTGTCCTGTCTTTAACATTGTATTGAAAGTTTTTATTTCATTTTTTTGTCAAAAATATGTGCTTAATGTTTTCCACATAATTTGAAGGCCTACTATACATATAATTTAATACCTTTTATCAAACATTATAACAAATATTCTTTATACTGTAAGCTTTTAGTTAGCATCATTTTAATGACTTCATATTATATCATTCTATGGATGGCATGCTTAGCTTACTAATGTTGACTGTTATACATCTGGTTACCTGTAATTGCTATTTTTAACATATTCATGTTTGTGTATAAGCTTTTTTGTATTATTTATTATTTGTTCAATATAAATTCCCAGAAATGGATTATTGGGTCAAGGAATATGAATATTTAAAGGTTTTTTATGTTAACTACCAAATTTCCTGTCCAAAGGTATGTTGCTGGTATATTTATTCATTTATTTGACAGACTTATTTCTTCATAGCTCTGATAGCATCAGGTATTTTAAGTTATATAACTTTTTAAATTTCATTTTTATATTTATTAGTAAAGTTAAACTTTTTGTATAAAGAGCTACTCATAATAAAAAAATAATTTTCCAGCTTCTTTGTGATTTTCAAAATCTATAATCTTCCCTGAAGATGTAGCAAAACTCAGAGGGAATCAAAATATGATAGAATATGGGATTCTACTTAGAATTGCTTCAGGAAAACAATTAAACTTTGTACTTCATAAAGCACAATTCCTTTTATAGCCATCATCAGTTGTAACTTCAATTAAAATCCTTTGTGGTTCTCCTTTAATTTAACCTAAGCTTTGTCTTTTTCCCTCAGCCAGAAGTTATCGGATCTGCGTTACTCCCCTTGCGAGCTGTCATTCAGTCAGAGCTGCTTTCTTTCACTGACCAACTCCCAGTGCAACAGGAAAATGGTCACACTCCACTTGGCCCCCTGAAGGTACATAGATATTTATTCAGAAAAGTAGAAGTATTTCTCAATAATACTGAGAAGTATTATTGGCTGACACTTAAGAATATAGCAGTGATGACCAGGGATTTAGCTCAGTGGTTCTGCTGCCTGCCTCACAAGCAGACCCAAGTTCAATCCCTGGTACCAAAAAAAAAAGAATATAGCAGTGAACAAGAAAAGCAAGGTCTGCTATTGGTAGAATTCTATTGAAATAGGTTAATAGAAGTACTATGAAGGAAATAAATGATATGATAATAAGTACCTGGAAGGAAGTGGAAGATGGTATCAGGTAAGCTCTCACTAAGAAGGTGACATTTAAGGTAAGATCTGAAGAATAAGAGAAAGTTAAAAACATTGGGAAAGTCATTATAGAGAGAAGGAGTAACCAAAAAAAACAGTCCCTAAAGGAGAAATAGACTTTTTGTTGCCAAGAGACCAGATGTTACCAGAGCATAGTATGCAAGAAGGAAGTGAAAGAAAGTAGGGTTAAACAGGCAGGTAGGAGCCATATCAGAGATTTGCAGTTAAGGTAGGTAAGGGCTTAAATTTTAGGCTAAGAGCAAGGAAAGGACATTGAAGCATGGGAGTGATCTGATTTACATTTTTAAAATATTTGTGTGTGCAATAGACTGGAGGAGGGCAAGAGAGGGAGTATGAGGATATTACATTAGTCCCAAAAAGAGAAGATTGACTTGGTCTAGAGTTGTGGTCATGAACTAGGAGTAAAGTAACTGTGCCTTGTGAAGTGAATTCCTATGTATAATTCATTGGCGAAAGGGTTCTTTCCTTGTGTTCAGAAGCACCAGGATTTCTTGGGTGGCAGTATTTGAATGAGTGTCTTCAGTATAAATTCATTAGATATCCTGGTGAGTTTTAAAAAATTTTTCCAGTCATGGGTAAAAAATCCCTATGGCTTCCCCGTCACCCACAGTTTAAATGTACAAGGCTCACCATGTAACCCCTACCTGCTACTTCAGCCTTCTCTACCAGTAGCCATGTCAGATTATATAAAATTCAGTGAGATAGCATGCTGGCTCATGTCTCCCATGTTTTCCTATTTATGTTTATGCTGCTTCTCGTCTTGAAAGCCTTCTCTTTCTTCTCTTCCTGGTCTTCCTAGTAAATATCACTTACCTTTAAAGAATTATTGCAAAAAATAATACCACATTACTCTCCTGCTGTCCAAGTTTTATTTTTGCCTCCTGGGTTCATTCTGGCACCAGGGTTTAAAATCTGAAAGGGGTAATAAAGAGAATTGATGGACTTAGATAGAGAAGTACTCTATTAGATTGATTTCTGCCTCTATTTAACAGAGCAAAAGAACATTGCTGTGTAATACCTATGGATTTCAAATAAAAGAAACAATAAGAAGCCTTTCATCTCTAGTAATTCATTCTTCTGACAGTTAGTGGCCACTTCTGTTCTGCATATTTATCCCACGTCCTTTTTCTTTTTTGCTTAACATTTTTAACTTTTATTTTGAAATATCTTCAAACTTACAGAAATACCACAAATACAATAATCAAAGAGCTCCCATAGCCATTACCTAGACTCTCCAATTCTTCATTTTTCACATTTACTTTATAATTCTATGTTGCTTTATTCCTTCTTTCCATATATAACACATATGTAATAAATGTACATACTCATAAACACACACACTTGTTCTAAACTATATGAGAATAAGTTACAGGCATTATGATTATTTTCCCCTTAATGTATTTTCTAGAACAAGAACATGATTGTGCATAATACTCTATATTTATACAAATCAATTTAATATTGATAATATATTTCTCCAGTAGCCCATACATTTTACCAGTGGTGCCAGTACTTTCCTTTATGGTCATTTTCTTTCCAGTCCATTTGCATTTTATCATCATATTTTTCTAATCTTTCAGTCTAGAATAGTTTCATAGCCCTTTTGTCATTTTAGTACATTAATAATTTTTAAAAGTAAGCCAATTATTTTTGTAGAATATCCTGCCACTGGAGTTACCTGAATCATATATTATTAAAATAATTGTAAAATGGAAATTTCTAACTGTCATTCTCTGTGCTTTTTTTTTTTTTAGTGTCAGAGATTGAACTTGAACCTAAGGCCTTGTTTGTGCTAGACAAGCAAGCCCTCTACCACTGAGTTATATCATTGTGGTCTCCCTGAGAATTTATTAATTGGCATTCTATTATACAGAATAGTTCTCTCTTTTCCCATATAAATTTTACATTAGTATGGATTTATGGAGTCTTATATTATTTGATGGGTTATAATCCATTACTGTTACTTTGATGCTCAAATTATCCTATATTTATCTAATAGGGGCCAAGTGAATGGGATTCTGTATTCTTTAAACATATGTCCATCCTTTTCTGAGCATCTTGCTTTCTAGCAAAGATGTTCTAGGTTCATCTCGTATCAGTGATAATCTGCCTAATTTTTCTCAGTCTGACAAGTTAATAAATACACAGTATATTGGTGTTCTTCCTGTTTTGGCGATTAAGGATGAGTTAATTCATTTTCTAATAATCTAACATTACCTCCAGTTCCAAAATTCTGATTCCACTTCTACAGGACATTCTTACTGATTATTCTTTTGTGTTTTATAGGTAACAATAGAACTTGTTAGAGATAACAAGGATTTCACAGGTGTTAATACTCATTTAACTAGCAGCACCCAACATACCCCACTTTGTGTTGCTACAAGTTCACAGAAGATATTACAAGAGTCCAACCAAGATACTACCTGTACCAAAAATCCACAGAACCTAAATCAAATTCATGAGGAAAATACAAAAAAAGCACAAAATTTGATGCTTCCCAACCCAAAGTCACCAAGCTCTGTAGCAAAAAATTCTTCAGACTTCATGCCAGCCTCTCACAATTTAGTAGATTACACAAATGAGTCAATAAAAGAAAATGCTTTGCTATTGCATGTGCTTTTGATGGTCCCAGAAGGAAAAGACTTCATTACTGAAGAATCTGAGAAACAGCCAGCATGCAATGTTTATTTAATTTGCAAATTCTTCAACACAGAGGAAGTCACCAGATCTGTCATCGCATGGAGTACAACACAACCAGTCTTTAACTTTTCTCAGGTAACTTTGTATATTCCATATCAGTGAGACGTATATGAGGATAGGAGACAAAATGTTTCCCAAATCATAATTCTGTCTTAAATTTAGAACATTCAATCTGGAAAGAACCTGGTAATTATCTGGTGTACTCTAACTGGATGAAAAAGAAAAAGGCTGCCAACATTTTAAAACATTTTTTCTCTATTTCTCCTCTTCTTTCTCAGTTTGTATAGTTTCCCACTGTTTCTTTTGCCTTAGTTCTGGATTCTATTCCTTTCTGCTTCCTTTAGAAGTTTGATCAGTTAAACTTCCCCAACTTTCCTCTAGTCTTTATTTATTCATTTATTTATTTGTTTGTTTGTTTGTTTGTTTATTTTCCTGTCACTCAGTTGCCCCCTTCCTTTCAAATCCTGACTCAGCAGCTGATTGTTTTAAGTTGTCAGGCCAGGAGAAAACCAAGGAAAGGTTGGTGACTCCAGCACTTTTCCTTTGTCTTAACCAGTTAGTACCACATTTAGTACACTTGCTGGCTCTCTTCATATCAACTCCCTTCTCCCTATGATCACATCTGTTCCTGCAGCTTCACTTTGATTTTTATGAAGATAACTTCCAGTATGCATTTCTGTATAACCGTACATTTTGCCATAGTTTCACACCTCTGTATCTGACTGCCTGCTAGTTACTACCACCTGAATGCCTTAACTTGCCTTAACATGCAGATATTAAGAATGTGTAAATGAAAGAAGGAATTCAAATGCATCCAAGTCTGAATTTATTATTCCTTCCAAATCTGTTCTTTTTGTCTACTTTAATTTGTTTTATAGTTTACTCAGAAATTTAAGTAGAGCCTGAAAGTTGTCCTTGACTCTTGCTCACTGACCAAGTCCAGTATATGCTACAAACTTAACTATCTCTAGCATGTATCCCCTTCCATTACATTGCTACTGCTTCCATTCAAGCCTTCACACTCATTCCAAATAGACTGCAGATTGTTCTATGTCTGACCTCTCTCTGTGCATTCCTTCCTGTATGTACCACTAAGAATGAGCTTTCTAAAACACTAACCTGAGTATTTTACTCCCCTGCTAAAGCTTTTCAGTGATTCCCTAAAGCCTTCAGGATAGACTTTTAAGTCCTTAGTGTAGCCTCCAAGACCCTTTAAGAACTGAGTGCATCTGCTTCTCCCATCTAAATTCCACCATTCCGCACTTGGATTGTCCAACTGTGCTTAGCAACTCAGCACTGTTCTTTTCTCCAGCCTCTCTAATTTTACATGTACCATTCTTTGAATTTTTTTTTCTCAACCTATGATACCTATGAGGCAGAGCATTTTATTCATGGTAATTCCTGCTCAGCCTTAATGTATAGGGCTACTTTCTTTTTCCCCTAAGCTTTTTCTTAAACCTATTTAGACTAGGTTGCTGTGTTTTACTTCTGGTTTTAAGAACAGAATTACATAATCTTCGAGTAATTAGAATTTCTTAGGTGAATACAAAAGTAGCTCTTCTCTGGTTCTCTGCACTTCTAGTATCTTTCTTTCATCTTGCCTTACTTATATTTTGTTTGGTGCAGGGGATCGAACATAGGGATTTACACACACAAAGAACACACCCTACAGTATCATCAGACCTTATACTTCTGGCTTCACTCTTTTTGCCTCTTACGGTTTTCACTGGTTTCATCATTGGAGATTATCTCACTTCCATTATTATAATTATTACTATAGGTTAGGTTCCTACAAATTGCTGGTCCCTTGATTGTGCTTTAATTTTTTTGTTTGTTTCTTTGTTTCTTTGTTTGTTTTGGTTTTTTTTTTTATTGGTCTTACTATGTAGTTCAGGCTGGCCTCAAACTTTCAGTAGTCCTCCTGCCTCAGCCTCTCAAGTGCTGGGATTACAGGGCATGCACCAATTCACCCACTTTGTGCTATTAATTTGACAGAACTACTCTCTTCTAGATCTCCTTATGACTTATATTTTCTCTTTCAAGAACCAGCTAGTCAATTCTTTTTTACATTAAAAATCCAGATGTGGGACTGGGGATTTAGCTCAGTGGTGCCACACCTGCCTCACAAGCGCAAGATCCTAAGTTTGATTCCCAGTACCTAAAAACAAAACAAAACAAAAAAAAACAAAATCCAGATGAACCGTTGCCCTTACTATTTTCTTTTACACTAGGCCATTGTATCTGGCCTACATATATTACTCTCTAATAACGGATCATTTACTCTGTAACAACTTCTGTTGAGAGTACAGAATTAATTTAATTGTAATGCCTTAGCTCCTAACACTGTATGTGCACTGTAAATATTTGCTTTGTTTTTGACAGTGGAGTGGTATATTTTTTTTTTTGTAAATATTTGTTGAGTAAAAATACAAGTTGAACCATTGTCTCAGGTATAGACTTTTTTTGTTGTTTGTTCCCCCCCACCCCACAGGTGATTCCTGTCTCTCTGTCTTCCAAATACCTGGAAAGGCTTAAAAACAATGTGATGATAATTGAAACTTGGAACAAGTTTCCAGGACAGGACAAGCTGCTCGGGCTGGTGAAACTCCCTCTTCATCAATTTTACGTGTCATTCAAGTAAATGGGGTCCTTTGGAGTATTCTTTACTTGCATCTTTGTTTTTGTATGGACTGAAGAATTATTTTGGTTTTCAAATATGAATAGCTCAATAGTCCCTTGGAGGACCTGTCAGGTTCACCACTGTTTCTGTTCTTTCTCCAGTTGTAAAACAGTGGCACAGATACCGCTTGCCGTGTTTCAGGCACTTGTGCTCAGGGTCTTTCATACATCACATCATTTAATATTCATAAAAATCTCTGAGGCAGGTACTTTTATTTTGCCTGTTGTACAGTTGAGTTAACAGGCTCAAACAAGTTAAACTACTTGTCACAAATGTCGTAAGAGCAGAGCCAGGTTGAGTACCTGGATTGCGTCACTGAGGAGTCCATTCTCTACCAAAAAAGCTCTACTGTCCAAAGGTACCATCTCACTAAACTAACACTTTACCTCTCTGTCATGAAATGTCAGTATGGGTCATATCCATTATTGCAAATTTGCTGTGTTTAGACCTTTAGATTTGATTCGTACCTCACTTTTAGCACCTGTCTAGAGTATGAATTAATCTGAAGTTTATTTCTGTGCCTAATGCAACTGTTCATTTTCTGTTTTGATTCACAGTGCAAATATTAAATTACTTTATAACATCTCTTTTCTAGAAGCTTTTTTTTTTTTTTGGTGGTACTGGGGATTGAACTGGAGTCCTTGAGCTTGCAAGGCAGGTGGCAGCACCACTGTTAAATCCCGGGCCCTCTAGAAACTTCCTTATAGTTGTGTTTTAAATGTTGGGCTTTTGTGGCCATTATCTCATTTGAGCTTTCCTGCAAGTCAGGAAGTGTTATCATTGCCCTTATTCTACAAATGAGAAAATCTGTCCTTTGACTTAGAAAAGTCACTTAACTTCTCTGGTTTTCTTTTCCTTTTCTGTAAAATGAGGGCAATAATAGATCCCCTGTGTCTTTTGGAATAATTCTGAGGATCCAATGATAAAATATATGGGTCACCTTCTGTGAGTAGTTAAGTACTTATGATGGTAACATTAAAAAACAGGCTGAGAAGTAATGCTGAAATCACGTATGTCTGCTATGGGCTTTGGCTTTTTCTTTTTTCTTTTCTTTTTTTTTTAATAGTTGTGATATTAGTCTGGTCTGGTGTTCCCTTTCCTCCACTTTTCATTCTTTCTGAAACAGTATTAAATAATAGTGGCTACCAATTACTGAGCATTTATCTCTGTACCAGTACCATAATTGGTATTTTATATTGTTTATCATTCTGTAGTCCCTACAGCCTGTGATGAAAGTTTAATTACTTACATTTTAAAAAGGAGGAGTCAGACTCAGAAAAGTCAAATTGATTGCTTAAATCATCTAGCAAGTAAGTGGGAGAGCTAATGCTAAAATTCAATATAGTGTAACAGAACATTTGAGCTTTAGAATCAAATACAGGAGTTCAAAGCCTGAATCCCTAGCTCAACTTCCTACTACCTGGGTGTCCTTAGCTAAGTTAGTTAACCTTTCTGTATTGAGCTTTTCTTATCTGTTAACAGTGGATAATACCAACTTTTGCAGTGTTAAGTGGATTAGAAACACTATAAAGTACCTACCACATAGTATATGCTCAACAGATGGGTGATATCATTGGTAATATTATCCAGATCTTATCTGCCAGACTAAGATCCACACACGTCCAAGTTGACTACGCTGCCTCCATCTGAAATAATACAATTCACACTTGAAAGACAAAGGCAGAAAGTTTGAGTCCAGGCTACACTACATGCAAAACCCTGTTTCTAAATAAATGAATGAATGGCAGTTCAGCAAGGCTTAACTGAGATACTTGCTTCATCGCAGACCCTAGGCTTGGGGCTGTGGTAGCACAGAGATACGTCAGATACATTCCCAGCTCTGAAATTGTTGCATTTTGAACTTCAACTACCTGATATTTTAGTTTGATGGATTACTGACAGAATCACATTTTTTAAAACTACACTTACTTTTAAAGTTGTAGGTCCATTTTGGCAAACAGAAAAAAAGCCATGTAAGAAATGTAGCAACTCTTGACGTGATTGATCACTGTTATTGCTCACTCACAATTCCTTCTCCTCTAGAGATCCAAAGATTTCTCGCCTGCTGCTTGATGCCAGGTACCCAGTTGTGGCTGTGGACAGCTACATGCCTGTGATTGATGTATTCTCAGGACACCAAAATGGGAGCCTTCGAGTGTTTTTAGCCATGGGTTCTTCAGATCAGATAATAGCACTGCAAAGATTAAAGAATGAAGAAGGAACACTCCCTCCCTCTGGCCCTAGGCCAGCCCATTTCCTGGACCAGCCATCTGTAGCATCTGTGGCTATGGTAATGACTCTACAATGTTTCTTTCATAGAAAACTAAAATCCCATTTTCTGTTCAACATTTAAGAGAAACTGTTACCCCAAATCCTTATTTCAGTAATGGAAGTCTCAACAGAGAACTTGACTTTCACTCCAGTGCTTGCTTTAAATCAGAAGAATTGTTACTTTTTTTTTTTTTTTTTTTTATGGTTTAAATGGTTCTCTGTGTTCCTCTCAGCTCCCTGAATTTATAAGGAAAATCTGACTGAACAATCAGATCTTAATTTTCTGATTTACTAACTGAATTGCCCTTAAAAAAAAAAAAAAAAATTGGGGGCCGGGAATTTAGCTCAGTGGTTCCGTCTACCTTGCAAGCACAAGGACCCAAGTTTGATCCCCGGTACCAAAAAATAATAATAATAATAAAAAAAAATTTTTTTAATTGGGAAAAAGGAATGATCCCAAATGTTAGTTGGCAAAATCTCACACTCTTTGCTAAATCCACATTGAAAGTTACAATTAAGTGCCTTGTTTTTCTATTAATAACTTAAAAGTAATTTTCCTGTATAGTGCTATATAATTGAGAATGCAAACTATGACATACTTTATTTCCCTAACAAGTGTATGAGGGCATTCTCATTTATAGGTGATAAAACAGAATCAAATAAGTTTTGTTAGATTTACAAAACAAAGAATGAGAGAATTAGAGTTCAGGCCCAGGTCTTTTGACTCCAAGTTCGTTTTTCATTTTGATGTGTCATGACATTATACATCCAATATTTGTCTTTGCTAGTATAACCAAATCACTATCTCCACAATCATTTAAGTATGTTATGGTCTTTAATCTGAGTCTGGATAGCAAATTTAAATGTCTGCCTTAGGAAAATATCCATTAGCAGATTATTGCTATGTTATGAAGCCTTTGCTCTTTATTAGATACTAGTGTCTATCAGTAAATTAAATGATATTTTTCTAATTGAAATTACATAAAAACATAAATAAGAGAAATTACCTATAATATGCCCAAGTCTTCTTTAAGTATTATATGCTCTCCCATTTTGCCTGTACAGTCAGATTTTGTTAAATTCCACACTAAAATTTAGAAAAAAAATTTTTTTGGTACTGGGGATCAAACTCAGGACCCCATGATTGCAAGGCAGACACGGTGCCACTGAGCTAAATCCCTGGCCCTAAAATTTAGAAAATATTTCTTAATGTGGACACAGAGGCTTGCTTATGAGGTTATGTATTTATAAATACAATTGATTTTCCCCCCATACTCATGGCTTTGACCAAGTTCATTCTCTGTGGAACTGAAATGTTAAATTACTACAATACTGCATGATTAAATCAAGCAGCTGCTATAACTGAGAGATCCCCCACACCAAGTTTTTTCATTCAGGATATCAAAATGTAAGTTTTCTATTATCCTATAGGGAAAACTTTTGAGTAGTCATTTTTATAGATTTAAAGCAAGACCTAATAGAGCCTCTATTCCAGATTTATTGATGGATAAAGTGGTAAATACATAATTTATTCTATCTCACTCTTATCCGAATCCTGAATTTTCCCCTTTGAATAATCTGTTGTCTAATGACTGCAGAAACTAGGATAGAGGTAAAGAATACTGGCTTCAAAATCAGACTATCTGAGGGCTAGGGATTTAGCTCAGTAGTCCTGTGCCTGCCTTGCAAGTACAAGATCCTGAGTTCAATCCCCAGTACTTCAAGGAAAGACAGAGAGAGGGAAGGAGGAAGGGAGGGAGGGAGAGAAAGGAGAAGGAAGGAAGGAAGGACGAAGAATCAGACTACCTGAGTCCAAACCCTGGTTCCACTGTTATTAGCTATGTGTGCTAAATTAGGTAATACAAGTGAAGTACTTGGGTGCAATGCCTGGCTTATAGTAAATACTCAATAAATACATGGCTAATCTTTAATGGTAATTATATCTTCGGTGATGGTGTATGCACTACCTCCATAAGTAGTCCTTACTGTTACTGGACTTTCCCAGGGTCTCTAGAGATAGTAATTAAGTAAATTAATACCTGTTTGTTTCAAATATATATTCTTCTTCCTATTAAAGAAATTACCTCTATTTTTGGTGTACTAAAAGCTTTCATCAAACAACTGTTGAATTTTACCATGTGCTTATTAAGCACTTATTGATGTTTAACTGGTTTTTTTCCCTTTGTTCCATTAATGCATAGAGTTACATTTATGGATTCCCTAGTATGAACTCAGTGTCATGAGCTAGAGAAAATCCTATTTGGTCTGTTTACACTGAGCAGGTGTGAGAGTTAAATATAAGCAAAATTAAGTATCTTTTTTATTTCCTCATCTATACTCAAGCTTTCTCAAAAAGTAGGAGTATTTTGGACCAGGGATTTAGCTCAGAGGTTCTGGTGCCTGCCTCACAAGTACAAGGACCCAAGTTTGATCCCTAGTACCAAAAAAAAAAAAAAAAAAAAAAGCAGAGATATTTTAAGCAAGTCACTCTTTAAAACTCAACAGTGTTTCTGTCTCTTTTAATAGGCGGAGGACCAAGGAAGTGGATTGATAGAACACCACTTTGAGTTCCGTGTAGAGATGGTTAAAGGGCTAGTCCCTCTTCAGGCCACAGTCTGGGGAGAAGCAGATTGTTATGTCCAGTACTATTTTCCATTTCAAGACTCACAGTCCAGTGTGCTCAGAGGACCTGAATTCCTTGAAAATGGTAGGTTTGGTCAATTAGGGCTTCTCATTCTTTTTTGTTTTTGTTGTTTTGTATTTTGAGACAAGGATCTCACTACGTACCTTTGAACTCTGTAGTTCAAACTGTCCTCAGACTTATGATCTTCCTGCTTCACCCTGCTCTGTGCTGTGATGACAGGTATGCACCACATGCCCAGCTAGGCCTTTTTACTCTTGTGCAGTTCATTAATACAACTATATTCTTGTGTAGTTCTTTTTCATACTCATGAAATATTTGTTCTTGAGTGGATTTTGTGTTGCTGAATATTTCTAGTTTTCCTTAGACAGCAAAACAGAAAATGGACTATGTAAATTTTACTTCTTTATTTTGCAATACTGGGGATTGAGAACATAGCCTTCTTGCCAAACTACCTTTCTAGCCCTGTTTATATTTTGAGACATGGTCTCACTAAGTTGTTAAGTTGCCCAGGCTGGGCTCAAACTCAAGATCACCCTGATGCCTCCCAAATGACAGGCATGTGCCACTGTTCCCATCTATGAATGTTCATAATGCAAGGTGCATTCGTATCTACAAAAGTTCGCAACTCAAATGTTTGTAAGTCAGGGACTTACTGTAGAACAAAGAGCCAAGCATGGAGATGCATGTTTGCAATCCCAGCACTCTGGGAAGTTGAGACAGGAAGATTTTAAGTTTGAGGCCAACCCAGGCAATTTAATGACTTAGCAAGACCTTGTCTCAAATTATTTTTTGGTACAGGGATCAGACTCGGGCCCTTATGCTTGTGAGGCAGGCGGTGGAACCACTGAGCCAAATCCCCGGCTCCCTGTCTCAAACTTTAAAGAAAGAAGAAAGGATGAAAAGAACATAGTACAAAGAATTTCTTTATAGAGTTACCAATTATTTTATCTGATTTTGTATAATTTATATGCCTATAATTTTAGTCACATAACAGGTTTTTGTTTGTTTGTTTGTTTTGTTTTTTGTTTTGGTACCAGAGATTGAACTCAGGACGTTGAGCTTGAAAGGCAGGCATGGTGCCACTGAGCTAAAACTCCAGCCCCATAGTTGATTCTTATTATTCATGGTAGTTGTGATCTATAAAGTCACCAAGAGCAGCTTAGGAAGGGAATTCCAAATGATTATTGCTAAAAGAAAAATGCATTTATACATGTCTCATAGAGATCAGAATCTTAAATCCTACAAACAAAGATCCTGGTTAGTTTCTATTTTCTTTTGATTTTTGTTTGTTTTTCATAAAAGAGAAAATTAGATTCTGTCATGTTAAATGACTTTCTTAGGGTGACTCATGAATAAGCACCAGTTGAGATTCAAATCCTGTGCATTGAAAGCAGAACTAGAGTTTCTTGCACTATACTGCTCTGCCCTTACCATCTCCTTACCTCTGAGAGTCTCGCCTTGTATGATCTCTGCTGAAAGTAAGCAAATCTGGCAACTCAAAAATTTTCACTATTCTATATATGTCCATGAATGACTGCCAGGTGCTGCCAGTATTGATTTTGGGATTCAAATAAAAAATGTATAGGGCTGGGGATTTAGCTCAGTGGTTCCGCCACCGGCCTCGCAAGTACAAGGACCCAAGTTTGATTGATCCCCAGTACCAAAAAAAAAAAAAAAAAAAAAA